TGTGTGTGTGTGTGTGTTTGTCTTTCTGTGTGTTTGTGTGTGTGTGTGTGTGTGTGTGTGTGTGTGTGTGTGTGTGTGTGTGTGTGTGTGTGTGTGTGTGTGTGTGTGTGTGTGTGTGTGTGTCTGTGTGTGTGTGTGTGTGTCTTTCTGTCTGTGTATGTGTGTGTGTCTGTCTGTCTGTGTGTGTGTGTGTCTGTGTTTGTGTGTGTGAGTGAGAGAGAGAGTGTGTGTGAGTGTGTGTGTGTGAGAGAGTGTGTGTGAGTGTGTGTGTGTGAGTGAGAGAGAGAGTGTGTGTGAGTGTGTGTGTGAGAGAGTGTGTGTGTGTGTGAGTGAGAGAGAGAGTGTGTGTGAGTGTGTGTGTGTGTGTGTGTGAGAGAGAGAGTGTGTGTGAGTGTGTGTGAGAGAGTGTGTGTGTGTGTGTGTGTGTGTGTGAGTGAGTGAGCGAGAGAGTGTGTGTGAGTGTGTATGTGTTCAGCACTGAGCGTCTATGAGGCAGGTCTGCTCTCTGTGACCTCTGACCTCACGTTCATGCTGGTTTGAGTGTGTGTCTCATTACGTTCGTCTGCGCTGGTGTGTCTGAAATCCTAACACTCGCGCCAGCTCCGCGCTGTCATTAATTTCATCCCATTACGGACGAGAGAAAAGGAATTAAAATACTTTATAGTCGGCTTGGCCGTTAAACAGCGCTGTTATGACTGGCCATTAGCCTGTTTAACGTATCCTGTGGGAGCGCGGGATTTGAGAGCGTTAGCGAGATAATTAGCAAACAGGATGGAAAACTGGGCTAATGCCTTCCAGAATGATTTATTTACTCCAGCTCTCAGTCGATTCATCAGAGCAGACGAGCTCGTCTCTCAATAACACAACCCAGACACAGACAGTGCAAATTCATGGACGTTTTTATATAATCTTTTCTAATAATAACATAACATATAATATGAAAATATTTATATTACTATATATTTATAATACTATATTTCAGAATTATAATATTATATAAAATATGATATATATAAAATGTTTTTAAAATAATTTTTGTTTCTTTAATAAATAAATTATGATGTTCAGAAGGATGTTTTAATACAGTAACCAGCAGCTGTCAAGCTTCAAATAAGACAAAAACACCATAAATGTATCATTAAGTCATATGATTGATGAAATTTAAGTTGTTTTGTATTAAGTGCATGGAAATGCATTGCATAAATGAATGAGGAACACCTAATTGGAATATGCATGAGTGATATGGTTTCATTAAAAGGTTAATTCCCAAAAAACACGTATACATGTATCAAGTCATATGCTATTGTTTTAACAACCCAAAATTTAAGTCATTATGCACTAAGTGCATGAACATGCATTGAATAAATGAATGCAGAACACCAATTGTTAATATGCATGAGTCATATGGATTAATCAATAGGTTGATTCCTAAAAAAACACTATAAATCTATCAAGTCATATGATTTAATTTCTTATGCATTAAGTGCATGAAAATGCAATGCATAAATGAATGCATAACATCAAATTTGAACAATCTTGACTGTGCATGAGTCATATGAATTAATTAATAGACTTGATTCCCAAAAAGCAACATAAATGTGTCATTAAGTCATTTGATTTTTGGTTTTATGAATGGAACAATACAAGTCGTTTTGCATTAAGTGCATGAAAATGCATTGCATAAATGAATATAGAACACCAATTTTTAATATGCACGAGTCATACAGATTAATAAATAGATTGATTCCCAAAACACACCACAAATGTTTCATTAAATCATGACAGAAACAAACGGTCAAATTTAAGTCATGCATGAAAATGCATTGCATGAATGAATAAAATGCAAAGTGTGCAGGCATCATATTGGTTAATTAATAGGATAATTAGCAAAAAACACTATAAATCTATCAAGTCATATGATTTGATGTTTTAACAAACTGAAATTGAATTCATTATGCATTAAGTGCATGAAAATGCATTGCACAACTGAATGCATAACATCAAATTTGAATATGCATGAGTCATACAGATTAATAAATAGATTGATTCCCAAAAAACACAATTAAATCATATGACGTTTTAACAGAAATTGACGTAATTATGCATTCAAGTGCATAATAATGCATTGGATAAATGAGTGCAGAGCACCAATTTTGAATATGAACGAATTATATGGATTCATTGATAGGTTGAATCACACCATAAATGTGTCATTAAGGTTTTTTTATAAATGGGAGAAACATAAATTGAAGTCGTTATGCATTAAGTGCATGAAAATGCATTGGATAAATGAATGCAGCACATCTCATTTGAATATGCCTGAGTCATATGGATTATGGTAATGATACTTTAATGCCTTTTTTTGTCATCTTCTGGAGCTTGACAGCATCCACCTCCACTCGATTTCATTTCTGGGTCAACTATTCCTTTCATCCCTCCTTTTATCCTGATTCTCTCTTTTTTGTGCATTTGTTAGTGTCAGCTGACCAGGTCAGAGCGGCTTTTCCTGCGTGAGACTGAAAACAGGATTCTTCTTTTTAAATCAAATCTGCACTCAATTTAGAGGCAAACTGAAGAATGCTTCTGAGGCAAACAAACATGTATTTTTCTCTGGATCAGATTATGCATGCACGCAGGGAACGAGCGTGTGAATAATGAAAACTGTAGGACGGGCCGCAGCGTCTCTGGGCAACAGGAAGCGCTCATTATTTCAGGCCAAAGAGAGCCAGAGATTGAGGGAAGAGCGCAGGACGAAATCCATCTCATCTGAAGACAACAGGACGCCGCTCTCCTCGTGAATGGCTGAAGGCGATCCAAGACTATTTCAATGTTTGATAAGAGGAGACAAGGTCACAGACTGTTGCTAAGCAGCTCAAAAGCAGCGCGGCTCTCTGGGGAGCAGTGAAGAGTCACAGTGATGGCGAGAGGAGAGGAGCTCTGACAGCTGCTCCGAGCCAAACTAAAGACATGAATGTGTGTGTGTGTGCGTGCGCGTGCAGCGCTGACACCAGAGATGAAAACACTGCTGGTTAGACGCTTGCATCTCAATGTCACAGTGATCAGAAAAGTCCTATTCACACACAGACCAAACAGTCGTGCTGCAGCAGTGCAGCCTCATCAGTACCTTCATCTAGAGAGCATCTGGCCGATGACTGATTATATATATATATATAAACTGAGTGAATTAAATTAATTAAACAAATTCTTGTTTTACATAATATTTATTTAAAAAATTATAACATAAATATAAGCAAATTTACGGTGAGAACAATTGGTCTGTTCAGTGTTATTTTAGTATTACTTACTATTATATTTTTTAATAATATTTTGAATTATCTTTGATTATTTTTCATATTTGAAAGTAATAACTACATAAATATTATAAGTAACTTTTGAAAACTTTTTATTTTAAAGTAATCTGATCTGCTTTTATCCTTTTTCTTTTTAATTTTTCTTTTTAAAAGTTTATAACTTTTTTTTACTTATTTTAATTTAAATTTCATTTGAGTAATTTTAATAATTTTAGTAATGTTAAGCATAACATTTCTAATGTCCATTTAAGTTTAAGTTATTCATACAATATTTGCTGTATACTTTAATTTATTTCGGCTTTATTTCAATGACAGAAACTACTTTATTTGTTATTATATTATATTATATATAAATATTTTAAGTAAAGCCAGCATTTTATAGAAATTTAGTATTTTGTATAATTGTATTTGACATTTCTGTCACTTCTGAACTGATGGCTACGGCCCTAGTGTGACTAAATGTTAGCCTATACATAATAAAGCTCTTTTTTTAAAATCTTGACTTGCATACATTTCTACATATGCCATAGCATCATTAAACTAGCATCTAACAATGGACAAAAGCGTTTTTTTCTCTAAGCTATAGTTCTGTAACCATAAAGGCTGCTGAGTAGTTTGCCCCCTGATTAAGCATTTAAATAATCCTGTGCATGCACTTAAAGAATGCAGAATCAAATCATTAATCAAATCGAATTTAATTGTGAATCAAATCGAATTGAATCGTTCTGAATTTGCAAAAATCGTTCTTGGATCGAATCGATTCGCTGTTTACCCAAAGATTCACAGCCCTAATAATTAGTCACTACATTACACTGTAATTCAGATCTCATTCAGCAGCAGTGTAAGCGTCTGACTGCAGTGTGCTGTGAGTGTGATGCACTGAGGGCTGTGAGCGAGTTGTTTTGTGAGTGTATGGCAGTTCTTGCGTTTGCCGCGAGGTAATGAACTGGCCAGCATTGTGCTTGTGTGTGATAATAATCCGCTTGTTAAGACGAGCTGTTTCCGGGTCCAAGCCTCAACTCGCTTCACTTGAGAATACTACCTCAGCAGCCGTTTATGAGCACTGTTTATTCATATTAAACACTTAAGCTAAACATTTTCAAACTTACGGTGTACACTACAGTCTCCGTGCTCACAGCGTCCCAAACACAAATCATTTTTATATTTATATTTTCATTGTCTGGCTATCTGGGATTTCGGTGTGGAGTTAAAGGTTAAGATTATATATTTTTTGGTAGTATTATATCACATTGTGAGTGTATATTAGCACCTTCTGTTGTTTTCTCGTGGTATCTGATAGAAGCGGTGACGCATGACGTCAGACTTAACAAGCGGATAGCGGGCCGAGCGGAGGAGAGTTCACACTCGCTCACATAACCAAATGACAAGGCCAGCGGGTGGCTAGTTTGTGTTGAGTGTGACCCGTGACAGCTGTCTGATATCCAGCGATCTCTGCAGGGCGTCGCATGCGTGACGCATGTAAACACACACACACAATACACACACACACACACTCAAACAGACACACACACACACACACACACACACAGAGACCGGTCAGAGTCACACGTCTGACCTCCGGCTGATCAGTCCACCAATCACAGTCACAACACACACGCTATTAATAGAGAAACCTGTGCAACATGTCTGCTGCAGAAATGGGAGACTTGGCTAGTTTTATTAATACTTTGAATGAGTTTTTATAGTTTATTTTTAGTTAATATTTTATCTTTTTTTTAAATTTTTTTTTTATATGTCTATATGGTTACACTTTATTTTGATAGTCCACTTTAGACATTCTCAGGGCATCAGGGCGTAGCATGCGTGACGCATATAAACACACACACACACACACACACACACACTCAAACAGACACACACACACACACACACACACACAGAGACCGGTCAGAGTCACACGTCTGACCTCCGGCTGATCAGTCCACCAATCACAGTCACAACACACACGCTATTAATAGAGAAACCTGTGCAACATGTCTGCTGCAGAAATGGGAGACTTGGCTAGTTTTATTAATACTTTGAATGAGTTTTTATAGTTTATTTTTATTTAATATTTTATCTTTTTTTTTAAATTTTTTTTTATATGTCTATATGGTTACACTTTATTTTGATAGAGTCACACGTCTGACCTCCGGCTGATCAGTCCACCAATCACAGTCACAACACACACGCTATTAATAGAGAAACCTGTGCAACATGTCTGCTGCAGAAATGGGAGACTTGGCTAGTTTTATTAATACTTTGAATGAGTTTTTATAGTTTATTTTTAGTTAATATTTTATCTTTTTTTTAAATTTTTTTTTTATATGTCTATATGGTTACACTTTATTTTGATAGTCCACTTTAGACATTCTACTAACTATAAGTAACTTTGCAACTACATGTGTACTAACTCTCAGAGTAGACCGTTAGGTTAGGTTTAGGGTTAGTAGAATAAGTTGACAAAGTTTCGCACAGTCAGTATGTTGTGGACCCATCAAAATAAAGTGTTAGAAGATATTAAGCAGACGGTCTACTAATACTCTAACGACTGCTAGTTGACATGTAGTTGCAAAGTTACTTACTGTTAGTTAAGATAAGATATATATATGTGACCCTGGATGTGACAAAATCAGTCATAAGGGTCAATTTTTTTAAATTGAGATTTCTGCATCATCTGAAAGCTGAATAAATAATCTTTCCATTGATGTATGGTTTGTTAGGATCGGACAATATTTGGCCGAGATTCAACTATCTGAAAATCTGGAATCTGAGGGTGCAAAACAATCTAAATATTGAGAAAATTAAAGTGAAGTTTGAAGTTCTTAGCAATGCATATTACTGATCAAAAATTAAGTTTTGATATATTTACAGTAGGAAATGTACAAAATATCTTCATGATCTTTACTTAATATCCTAATGATTTTTGGCATAAAAGAGAAATGTATAATTGTGACCCGTACAATGTATTGTTGGCTATTGCTACAAATATCCCCCAGCGACTTAACACTGCTTTTGTGCTCCAGGCTCATATATATTTGTGAAATTGTATTCAGTTAATGTTTATTATTTTATTACAAGTCACTATTTACTTATTCATTTATTTTAATGCTTTTATTTTCAGTTAACAACAGGAAGCCTGGTCCTGCCTATCATCTTATTGACCATTGCCAGGTCTTTCTGCGTTTGACATTCACCTCATCAACCCGGAAACTAGAGTTTTATTGAGAATCTGAGGACAAAAAACTGAATTTATGACACCATTCGTGTCAAATGACCATATACAACTAATTTGATGTGTTTTCAGGGTTCTCACACTTTGTCCGTCATTTTTCCAGGGATTCAGGATGAGCAGATTTTAGTGTGTCTGGCCCCGCCCACTCACCTCCCACTGGCCCTGCTGTGATTGGCTCTTGAGCTGAATGAGCCAGTCCTCACTGTCGGCCTCGGCGCAGTGGTGCATGGTGATGATGACGGGCCGGGTCAGGAGAGCTCCAGCAGGACCGCAGCTGACCACCGGACTCAGGACCGTCTCCTGTGTGTCGTCCACCTGCGGCCTGAACACACACACACACACACACACACACACACACACACACACACACAACATCAGCACCTGTGGAGCTCGGCTTCCTCGCCGCCAAATTAGGTACTTTCTTCACCGACCTAGCATTATTTTCATCAAGCTTTGGGAACCCCTTCGTGAACATGTCCAAACTCTCCAGCTTGACCCTGTTCTTTGTGATCTGAGTCACCACTCCCAATTTCCAGCCTAGTTTTGGATACTATCTATTTAAGCTTGGTCAGAACTGTACTTACTGTATGCAGGATTGCACTAGGGTACACTCCTCTTCAGTGTATTTGTTTACTGCTATATAGCTAATTGTGTTTTTGTCCTCTTGTAGGTTTTTTTGTATCTTTTTGTAATGTATTTGAAAATGTATAAATGAAACATTAAAAAAATTATAAAAATAAAACTTCATACTGACACTATCTGATGACATTCAAAACACAATGATGTGCATTATTTATTAACAGTGTCAGTGAATGTGGTTATCACAAAATGGGCAAATATCTGCCAGTTAACTGTGCCAATAACTGCTCTGTCCAGTGTTATTTTAGTTAAGCCCCGTTCACACCAAAGATAAAGAAAACGATAAAGATATCGTTCTAAAAATCGTTCTCAGTGTTAAAGAATAGCTGAGTCCACACCACAGCTATAACGATAAAGTCACAGAGAAACGATAACGTCGGAATCGCTTCCAGAATGATTTTTTTCCAGCTGATGAACGATAAAATCCTTGACAGCCAATCAGAATCAATCCTGCTGTCACGAGCTGGAGAATTTAAAGCGGCAGACGCGTGTGCGCTGAGAAATAAACAGACGATATCGTCCGCTGGTGTGGACGCTAATATCTTCATCTTTATAGTTATTGTTCTTGGTGTGAATGGGGCTTAATACTTGCATAACATTATAGTATTCAATAGTAATTAGAATTTTATTTTCATTTTTCTTTTTTGTATTTTTAATTTCAAATTTAATGATAGAACGGATAGCTCCAGTTCTTGATTCTGATTGGTTGAGCCGAATTCAAACTAAATTATTACATTGAATGTACTTTTGTCTTTTTTTTATTTATATTTTAATAGCTTTAATAACTTATTTCTATTTAAGTTTTTGTAATTTCAGTACTTCAACTCTTCATTTCGTTTTTTAGTTAGTTGACACGGCAACATTTTCATTTAAGGTTTTAAGTTTAAGTTAATTATCTAATATGTACCGTATATTTTAATTTATTTAATCTTTATTTCCATCACAGAAACAATTTCTAGACTGATTAATTAAAAACATTTTAATATAATTTTTTTTTAATATTTTGCCTTTTTGTATATTTCATCTTTTTTTTAAATCAATTTCTTGTATTAGTAAACTAAATATAACAAAATAATAAAAAATATAAAATGAAAAAGAGAAATGTAGCTTTTTTTGTTATGAACTAAAACTGTTTTTTTTAATAGTTTTATTTTTAATTAACAATAATAAGCCAGGCTTTGCCTTTCAATTAAAATAGCTGCTGTAGAAATGGAAATCTTAGCTAGTTTTTAAAGAATATTTTGAATTAGTTTTTATATTTCCCAATTTAATTTATTTTAGTTAAATTTTTTGTTAATATTTCAGTAATTTATTATCTTTAAAAAAAAAAAAAAAAGATTATTTGAGCACATTTTACAAGACACTATTTCTAATTCAAAATTTCATGTGCTACTTGCGGTTTCTTTTTAACTGTATAATTTACTAGCAATTTTTGAGTGAGACTTGTTTCCATACCATTTTTTTGTATGGCAGTTTGTATTTCGTGTATACAGTAGTAGTTGACTGCATGACTATTGACTCATTTGTGTTTGTTTTATTATCTGAGAAGCTTCATGAAGAGGTGAGCGATGAAAGAGCTGTGTTTGTGTGTGAGGTTCAGACAGGCACTAAATGCCTAGAATCCACTCGGTAGGCTGTTTGTCAGGGCAGATCAGATTACCTCATGCTCTCCTTCCTGTGAACCGTCACGTACATCTCATAGACACGGCCCTGAGGGATGGCACCCGCTGGCACCAACAAGCTCACGCCTGCGGAGAGACACACACACACACACACACACACACACACACACACACACACAGTCAGTCTGCCATCCCATGACCCCTGTGAGCTCTGTGACCCATGTGTGCCACACACTTCAGCACACAGAGCAAAAGCCCCATCAACATCACAAACACAAACACACACGCAAACACACACAAACACACACACACTCACTCACACACTCACACACACGCAAACAAACAAACACACACACTCACACACACACACACTCACACACACACACACACACACACACACACTCACACACACACACACCAGCACACACACACACAAAACCACACTCACACACGCACACACACACACACACACACACTTGCACTCACACACACTCACTAGCACACACTCACACTCACTCACACATACACACACGCACTCACACACACACACTCACACACACACGC